AAAAAAAAAAAAAAAAAAAAGGGAAATGTTCTTAATTAGCGATCTGGAACCCTAGAGACCAGAACGAGTCGAGTTGAACCCATCTCACCCAGACATTCCACTCGCGACTCACGATTCCACCAGCGATCCCACCAGCCCTTCGTCAAGCTCCTCTTCTCTCTCCCCCTCGGCACCCTCTTTTCTTTGTCTTTAAACCTGAAATCAACCTTTTTGATTCTCAGGAAGTAATCAAAGATTATGGATGCCGTTAAATTCAGAATGCCGGTGAAACCGCCGGAAAGATTCTGAAAGGGGTCGGAATTTCTTCACATTCAAGGTATTGAAGATTGTATGGTTCCTGTTTATCGTTGCAATTTATAAGTTAGTTTCATATGATTGTTTTCAGTTTTTGTTCCCGTTTAAATTTTGTGTTTTCTGTGTATCACCTGTTCGATGAAATTCCAAACTGTTATGAGGGATTCTGACTTGTTTTCAGCTTTTCTTTCTTTATTTTGGTGAACTATAGTCTGTTTTCTTATAGCATAACCATTTTATGTGATGCTTGGTATGGTCAAATCGGTTAATATTCTGTTTATCTTAGGGTTAGCTGTGTGTTTACCGTACCTCTAAGTTAATACTTTTTGTTTATGAAGATTGCTTGCTTTTCTATTCACAGTTTTGATTTTCATATTTCTTTGTTTAGATAAGAAAATCCCAAGGATGTCATTGTTGTTTTATAATAGGTATTGATAGTCAACATGAAAAGGAATCAATGTAGAATGTCTAATGGTGTCACCATAAATTTCTCTGACTGTAAATTTTAGGCACCTTTTGATCGATCACATCGTTAGCGGAGTTTTCAGAATATGTGCTGACCGATCTCTAGCAGATGCGCATTAGACTTCTGCTCGGTTAGATTGGTCGAGGAGATTAGTTGCATTTACCTTAGTGTTTTACCAATGATGGCCCCTATTCGCACGTGTGGATTTGTTGATCCAGGTTGGGAGCATGGAGTTGCTCAAGATGAAAAGAAAAAGAAGGTTAAATGTAATTATTGCGGGAAAATAGTTAGTGGTGGCATATATAGGTTGAAGCAACATTTAGCTCGAGTTTCGGGGGAAGTTACGTATTGTGACAAGGCTCCAGAGGAAGTATATTTGAGAATGAGAGAAAACCTGGAAGGTTGTCGTTCCAATAAGAAACCAAGACAGTCGGAAGATGATGAACAATCATATTTGAACTTCCATTCCAATGATGATGAAGATGGTGGTTTACATGTGGCTTATAGAAATAGAGGAAGGCAATTGATGGTAAGCAGAAACATCGGTGCTAACATGACTCCATTAAGGTCATTAAGATATGTTGACCCTGGATGGGAACACGGTGTGGCTCAGGACGAAAGGAAGAAGAAGGTTAAGTGCAACTACTGTGAAAAGATAGTTAGTGGAGGTATTAATAGGTTTAAGCAACATCTAGCCAGAATTCCTGGAGAGGTAGCCCCGTGTAAACACGCTCCTGAGGAAGTGTATCTTAAGATCAAAGAGAATATGAAATGGCATCGTACTGGCAGGAGAAATGGACAGACCGATGCCAACGAGTTATCGGCTTATTTTATGCAATCAGATAATGAAGAAGAGGAAGACGAGAAAGAGGAATCCTTGCATCATATTAGCAAGGAAAGATTGATCGATGGTGACAAAAGGTCGAGCAAAGATTTGAGAAGTAGCTTTAGGGGAATGTCCCCTGGTGGTGGATCTGAACCGTCCGTTAAAAGATCGAGGTTAGATTCTGTTTTTCTGAAAACCACCAAAAGACCAGCCGAACAGTTGCACAAACAAGCATTAGTAAAAAGAGGAGCCAATAGGAGGTCACGCAAAGAAGTAATGTCTGCAATTTGCAAATTCTTTTGCTATGCAGGAATTCCTTTTCAGTCTGCAAATTCTGTTTACTTTCATAAGATGTTGGAAACAGTCGGTCAATATGGATCAGGCTTGGTTGGCCCCTCGTGTCAATTGATATCTGGTCGGTTATTACAGGACGAAGTGGCAACCGTTAAGACTTACCTGGTTGAATTGAAGGCCTCCTGGGCAATTACTGGTTGTTCTATACTGGTGGACAGTCGGAAGGATTCAGATGGTCGAACGTCTATAAACTTTTTGGTTTCTTGTCCCCGTGGTGTTTACTTCGTCTCATCAGTCGATGCCACTGAAGTAGCAGACGACCCTTCAAACTTGTTTAGGGTGCTTGATGCAGTGGTAGATGAAATTGGGGAGGAAAATGTGGTGCAGGTAGTTTCTTTGCTGCAATCATCTCGTAGTTCTATTCGTTATTGCCAGTGTCCTTGCAGATAATTGTTTGTTTTTCTCCATTATTTTTTTAGGTAATAACTGAGAATACTCCTAATTATAAAGCTGCTGGTAAAATGCTCGAGGAGAAGAGAAGACATTTATTCTGGACGCCATGTGCGACCTATTGTATTGATCACATGCTTGAAGATTTTTCAAAATTGAGATCTGTGGAAGATTGCATGGAAAAGTGCCAAAAAATTACCAAGTTTATTTACAATCGGAACTGGTTGTTAAATTTCATGAAGAACGAGTTCACCCAAGGGTTGGAACTTCTTAGACCTGCAGTTACTCGGAACGCCTCAAACTTTGCTACTTTGCAGTGCTTGCTGGACCACAGAGCTAGTTTACGGAGAATGTTCGTCTCCAATGAGTGGACTTCTTGCAGGTTTTCTAAATCTGGTGAGGGACAAGAAGTAGAGATGATTGTATTAAATACTTCATTTTGGAAGAAGGTTCAATATGTTTGTAAATCTGTGGAACCAGTATTGCAAGTTCTTCAAAAATCCGATCCGGTTCAAAGCTTGTCGATGTCATCTATATATAATGACATGTACAGAGCCAAGTTCACTATACAATCCATTCATGGCGACGACGCCAGGAAATATGGACCATTCTGGAATGTGATAGATAGCAACTGGAATTCTTTATTTTGCCACCCATTACATATGGCTGCTTTTTTCTTAAACCCATCATACAGATATCGTCCTGATTTCGTGGCGGTATGAAAATAACTATCTCTTGGTGTTCCAAAATCGTGATAATCTCTTTTCTCAGCTACATTTCCTTTGTTCGTGCAGCATTCGGAGGTGGTTCGTGGACTTAATGAATGCATAGTTCGGCTCGAGTCTGACAGTTCCAGAAGGATTTCTGCATCTATGCAGGTAATGGATGGGGTTATTTTACGAGCCTGTCGATTGTCCTGATTTTGTGTAATCTTCACTACTTCGATATTGGCTGTCCCCAGATTTCGGACTATAATTCAGCAAAATCTGATTTTGGAACTGAGCTGGCTATCAGTACAAGAACAGAGCTTGATCCAGGTGATTGCTGCATTATCCTTCAGTATTAAATATAAGCTAAGTAATAGAAAACTCCGTTTTTGTTGATAGTTGAATCGTAGTTATCAGTTTCATTTTTGCTTTAATAGCTGCATGGTGGCAACAACATGGAATTAGTTGTTTAGAACTGCAACAAATAGCTGTTCGCATACTGAGTCAAACATGTTCATCTTTGTGTTGTGAACACTACTGGTCCCCTTTCAAGAATGAACGCAGTCAAAAGAACAATGCTTTGTCTCAGAGAAAAATGGCTGATTTGTTGTATGTTCACTACAACCTTCGGCTTCGAGAACGCCAACTAAGAAAGCGATCTAGTGACTCCGTTTCTCTTGATGATATTCTTATGGAACATTTGTTGGATGATTGGATTGTGGAACCTCAGAAACAAGGCATGCAAGAAGATGAGGTAT